CAAAACCATATCAATGTTTGATAAATTCATCTAGTCCAAGGCCATGAATTGAATTGATACTGTAGGAACTCACCAGGTTCAAAGTCGGGGATTGCCTTTTTGGGTCCGAGTTTCACTTCAGCAAGCTTAGCGTTCTTTGTCAGCAGATTCCACTTGCGATCCGCTACACTGAGTTTCGCGATCTCCTCAAGTTTTTCTCTAAACTCCCCGCTTAATTTCGGTTCCCTTTTTCTTTTTGCTACAAATATGAAAAGGTCCGACCTGTTAGCGAAAGAAAAACAACCTGTCAGGAAATTCTGAATAAAAGAAAGGAACTTACGGAAAGAAGAGACAACTCGGGTTGGGACAGTCATCCCGTCAATTGGGGCCTCAAGTCGGAAGTCGGGAGATTGCCAATCTCCACCAACCCACAACCATTCGTCCTGAAAGCCATGAAGGGTTTCGGGTATCCCAGTAACTAATTGTCCTATCTTCAATTCGTACTGCGGCCTCGCCGCACAGAAAAAGCAACCTGTTGGGGGAACTCCATCCCGTTCCCTACTCCTCTTAAAGAACAGAATGCTTCTCATTTCGTCGATGGTAGGGAAGGGGATTTTCTTTTGTGCTAAAAGGACCATAATCCCAATAATCTTTTTCCAGCTATTGGGAGTAATCTGGCTGAGACTGAGACCCCAATCGCGCAGATAGTCGGTTATGACGTTGTCTAGAGGGAATCTCAGGCCCGACCTCAGACTTTCAGCAAAAATCCCTATGCAACCCGGGGGAGGACAATGAATCCTTTCTCCCGGATAAGGAGCGAAGATCCTCACCGAGGTAGGAATTCGTACAGACTCGCGAAGGAGAACTACGTCGGCGTCAGTCATAGTACTAGGTTCCCACAAAAACGGATTATCTTCATCGGGCCACCGACGGGTAGGACGGTTCCAATAACCCGACCCCACAGGAACATCCCGTTCCACCTCGGCATCACCTTCAATATTGCGTTTGCGAATGTCTAGGCGTTCCACAAAAACCGGGTCCCACCGGTAATAATCCCCCATCAACTCCATTAACTCCTCATCCAACCTCAGGTCAGACACAGTCCTACTGCTGCTGCCCGTACCGACGTTCTCACCACTCACCGCCATAATTAAAGTTCAGAAATTATAAAGTGAAAAGAGGAAATTAGGGCTTACCGAAAAGTGACACAAGTTTCCAAAAGGTTTGGGATTTGATGAAATATGCTGAAGAAGATGAAAGAGGAAAGGCAAAGTATGAAAGAGACAGTTAGAGAACCAAATAGTTGCTTGAATGAAGATTCAGTGGAGAGAAACTGTGAACTAATCCGTAAATATATATACTCGAAATTTTCTAACCGTTGGAGATGGAGAGGCGCGTGATTAATTGACGCGTCGCTTGAGGGAAGTGTCCCTTTACTGTGACATAACGTGCAGATACAATCTCGTACGTACACGTGTCCATAACCGCCAATATTAATATCCGGAAATTTCGGTACGTGCTTATTGTGAAGAGTATTGGAGACACCACGTTCGTGACCTCTCGTAAACCGCACAATAAACTTCTTACAGTACAAAACGACCTTGGTAAAGGAACCAAACTATACGATTCTTGTCTAAGGAAAGTAACTCGGCATAAACTCCTAAGGAAAGTAACTCGACATAAACTCGCGAGAGAGACCCTTAGATCAGCTCGGGAATAAAAAGCAATTGGATGGAAAGTGTCATCAAAAAGTATGCATAATTTGCATACTTCTTAATGCCAGGGGCCTCTATGTTGATATCAAGATAGAGTATCTTGATATTATGATACAATTAAAGAAATCGTGAAGTTTAATTCATAAATTGGATTCTGGACGACGTCAAGAAGGACATACTGTACCCTGGTAATCTCATCTCGGTACCCGTAAATGATACCGCAGAATTTTCGGACATCAACACAAGTCGTCTGAGCCTTGAAAAAGGCCAACTCGGTCAAAGAATTATTTATTAAGAAGTCGTAGAATATTGAAGATCTATCAGAATACCGACATCACAAGACGAACCGACTTCATTCCGACAGATGTGACACTCGTCACACAGATAGAGGCGCGCCCATGCTAATCATTACCTAAAAAGTTCTTCTACGTCATCGCCGTCCCTAAGACGTCAAATCTTCATTAAAACGGGAATGATTTGTCTAGGGATGTGTGCCAGACATAACTATAAATAGCGGCTCCGAAAACGACAGAGGGGTTCGAAAAAAGATCATAAACACTCATATTTTCAACTCGGCTGTCTCACTGTATACCGACTTGAAATATATTGAAAAAACCGACCTCCCTGTACTGAAACCGACTTCAAAATATTCAATAAAAATCTCATTTTCTGCAACCTTTTGTGTTAATTTTACATTGTTAACGTTGATTTAATCCGTTTATCAACAAGGTTATATTTATAAATACTAGTATTCAATCCTGTGCATTTGCACAGTGTAAATAGAATATTATAAGTTATATTTATGCATATAGTATTAAAATTATAAGTTATACAATGATATTATATTTTAAACATAGAGTATTATAAGTTATATTTATGCATATAATAATAAAAAATATAAATTAGATAATGATATTATGTTTTAAAATTTGATCCTTGGTTACAATAAATAGTACATAACTATTTGATTGCATATGAACCACTATATTAATTACATAAAATATAATAAATAATGTAATTTTGTGAGATCGCCAATTTATTAGCTTAAAAATATTAAATTTATTATAACATTTGATTATGCGATTTTAAGGAATTTTACTATAACATTAAAATAAATTAACTTATTTAAAAATACAAACGCTAAATAAGATAAAAAGTTATAATATTAATTTTAGAATAAATAACTTTAGCAAAAAGTTTACAATATTTTTTTATGTTTATGTATTTTCATATATCATTTAGTGTAAACTATAGTTATTAGTTTTAATAACAGCTATTATATGATATAATAAAATAATATAATTATTACTCCATTCATATAAAATATAACGGTTTTTGTCTTAATAAACCATAAAAAAGTGCAATGAAATATTTTAGCATTAATTAGATATGATGGATTAATAATAATAATAATAAAAGATTGTAACATAAAAAGATGGTAAACAATAATTAATATTGTTAAATTTATTTTTGGTAGTTAAAATATAGAGAAAGATATAAATGATAAAATTTGTAACGGTTTTTAGAGGAAAATCGAAATGATTTTTATTAAATGTTTTATGAAATGCTATTAGCCAAAAATTATATATATATAGATAATATTAAATTGTAAATTAAATAAATGTCATATCACATTTTTAAAGTTTAATCATTACTAAAAATAAAACAGTACAAATATAAGTTATTTGAGTATATAAGATCACTATATTTATTAAAAAAGTTTGAGGACAATATAATTTTTAATTTTAAGGAATTATAGCCAAGTAATGTAGTTGAAAAATTATTACTATTATTATTATCATCATCAAAGCTCGAGTGAAAGCTCGGCTCGGCTAAACCTCAAGTTTGACCAAACTCGAGTCGAGCTTGAGTGGCTCGAGCATGTTATTGAGTCGATTTCGAGCATCGATTTTAGAAGGTTAAGCCGCTCGCAAGGGTCTTCGATCCAGAATCCGATCAACTCGGAGTGGGAACTGGTTTGGGTGAGCAGCTCGGGTGACAACGGACTCGTTCAAATCTGGTCAATAGCTGGTCAACTCGGCTGACTTGGTAGAACTAGGCATTGACCGACCGGATCAACTCGGTTTTCCCTAACAACAACAATTTTTTTATAAAAAAAAATAAAAACTATATAAATATATTTATGTGGTAAATATTTATTATTGGATACAATAATTAATACTTTTACGCTAAAATTTACATATAAAGTACTAATTTTTATTATATTCAGAAGATAAAAATAGTCTATATATATAGTTTTAAAATTTCTAAAATTAGTTACTAGTTCAACAATTGACCCGGTGACTCGGAAGTCAGTCCGGGTCGTTTACCGAGTTGGGTTTAAAAACATTGCTAAAATCAATTTATCTTTTATTTTTTTAATCTCATCAAACGATATGTAAAAAACGAGTCACGTGGAAAGTTGACTTTTTGTTTAAAAAGTTTGACTTACTTATAAAGAAATTTGTTGAGTGAAATTTAGAATTAACTTTTTATTATTTTGCGTGAAATTTAGTTTTTAAAATTGTATGCATCAATATTCTCCTACTTTATTGCCATGTTATTGTGCACGTTAAATTTTAAAATTGTAAACCAAAATATTGACCATTTTTTTTTTAACAATTTATGTGTCATATTTTTTTGAAAATATTCCGTATCAATAAATTTGTTTAAAAATGTGAAATATATAAAAATGGATGACATCAAATTTTTCAATTAGAAAATCTAGAACCCTTGACTATCTAGTGTCAGTGCGTTGATTCTATTGCTCTCTATGTACCCCCTTGTCACTTAAAAGGCCATCAGTCCCCAAAGACTAGCTTAGGCGACTATTTAATAGCCTTTAGGTCTTCCCGTGGAGTTAGGCCTCGAATACTCAGTCTAATAGGCTAGGCTTGGCGATCAAGTTAGTGGGCCGGAGTTGCACTTACCCTAAAGTTTAGATAGAAAGTTCGAGTATTACATTTTTTAGGAAAAAAAACTTTTTGTCATCCCAACTATCACGATTTTTGCGCGTTACCATATAAACTTTTTTTTGTTACACCCCACCATCTGAATTACACGGGTTTGTCAAATCGCCTCCTATACCAGGTTGAAGCCCGGTTTTGCCTCATTAAAACCAGTTTTTTAGGGTATTTTAGGAATTTTGTATATTTAAAAAAATTAAAAAAATAAAAAGAATTATAAAGAAAACCAATTGCGTCAGAACTCCTGCACTCCGGCAACCCATCTCTGTCTGTTGTTGGGGCCTTCAAACAAGAGGATGGTGCAACGGAGATAAGCGGATAGTGGAGATAAGCGTTTCAGGAAATCTCCGCACTCACGGCTGCCGGTTCCTGGTGCTGGACGAGGTGGACGAGCTGCTCGCCTTCAATTTCAGGGAAGACATGCACCGCATAGTGGAGCATGTTGGCAGGAGGTGAGGTGCAGGCTCCGACGGCAAGAATTAATCCATTGCATATGAACAGAGAAACGTGTGTAGGCCTGCCGCCTTCCTTGACTCAAAGAATTAATTTATTGCAACAGTTGCATTCTGTCCACCTCCCAGTTTATCATAGTTGACCTGGAAAAAGTCGAAAGAAATTAAAAATAAACATTAACAAGTTACATGCTTGTTCAATAAAAATGCTGCATGTAAGAGAGATAAATAGTGACAAAATATAAGATACTCCAAAGGTCATGGCAATTTAAAAGGTTTGATCAACAAATTAGAAACTACTCATTATTTGCCAAAATAGTGACATTGCATTTGCATAAAAAAAAAAAAGTCTTTCAGCTCAATTTTCATAAACTCCTTCAAACAACTGGTCTGTAAAGTAAGAGATATAAATAGTACTGGAGCTGCATGTAATGACACAAGCACGTGTTAAACCATGACCAACAAGCTTTCGACCAGGGGATTGGATATTCCGAAATGCGATCTTGGACGTGAAGGTTCTGTTGACCTACGGACTGGATTCATTACGCGCATCGGGCGGAACGTGCTGGACGTCTCGGAAGGAAGGGTACTGTGGTCACAATTTGTGAGGAGCTGGAAGTGTGTGTTGTGATGAAGATGCAGAAGCAGCTTCGGGTGGTTACCAAGCCATGCCAGTTTGTGGAGGGAAATCTTATTGTTGATGATGAAATCTTACTCACAACGACAGGTTTTAAGTGGCAGAGCTCTAAATTTTCATTCTTTTTTTTTTTTAAATTAAAAAATTGGGTTAGTAGTTGAGAATTTGATAAAAAAGAGGGGCTAATTTGTTGTATTTGAAAAGTCTATAAATTATGATTTCATCCTTTGGGTACTTTTGCAATATTTTTAAAGTTTGTAATTCCTAAAATACCCATGTAAATCAGTTTTTCTGCTACAAAACCACTTTAAATACGGTTTTCGTGGACAAATTGAAAAAGACGTGTAGTTTATATGGTTGTTTGAAAAAAAACAAAGTTGATATGTTAAAGCGCCAAAATCGTCATAGTCATAGTTCAGATGGGTAAAAGTTTTTTTCCCCATTTTTTATAATGAATCTCAAAATTTGAAATTAGTCATTTACACTAATATCCCAAATTGAATATTTGCATACCGTTTAGTCACCAAAAAAGTAGAAAAGGAAGGAAGAAAGAAAAGACAGGTTTGTGGAGTAACTCGAACCTACTCTCAGTAGTGACACTACACACTTTCCCAATCTCGGAAATGAAATCAGCGACGAATCCATTGATCAAATTGGGGCAGATTTCTTAGTCAGCTCAGAAAGAAAACTGTCATTTCTTCTAATGATTGATAACTCAGGAGCATAAACTTCCACTTACAAGGAAATCAAAGCGCGACCTCGTGAACCCGCCTAAATCTCCCTCAGGCATATCTAGTCAATATAAAATCATCACGATGCATAAAAAGGATTATCATTTCTCATTATAAGAATAAAATAATAGTAGAAAAAAAAAATAACTAAGAATTAAGTAATAATAAATGCTGATTTTTCACAATGAAATTTATAATATAAGCGTGCATAGCGAAAAATTATTATGTTTAAATATATAATAATTGATATGAAAAACACCTCTGCTATGTAGTAATTCATGTTGGTATCGAATTATCGTGACAATTTCATAATCAATTGATTAATTTTAATTTAAAAAATTATTATGTTTATTTTTTATTTTTCATAAATATGCATAAAGTAAGAAATAAATAATTTATCTTTATATACAATTTATAATCTTAATAGATTTTCATTTGTTATAAACATTTACAACATAAATTATAAAATATTTTTTAATTCATAAAATTAAATATATTTAAAGGAATAAGGAAATTTATTTGGATCAATCGGGCGATTGAATTATGTTAGTGCCCAGCTTAATTGAATCACTTTTATTTGATATTTAAAATAGTTAAAAAAATGACGCAGCTGAAATTGCTTCCGGTTGACCAAGTTAAGGTCAGTTTGGCCAGACCAAATCGTTTATTGAAACTAAATATAATTTTTAATAAAATACTTTATTACGATACATGTAATGTAGTTCACACTCGAAATAACCATATTAAGAATGTTTTTATGACGACATGTTCAATGATTTATGAACATTTATATATTATTTTATTAATATTTGTGAACAAAATAATATTGCATTACAACTTTATTAATGTGCGATAAATCCAAGGTTCTCAGAAGAGGACTGTTTCACACCGATGAAGTTATTTATTGAATGATTTATTGGTGGACTGGAACTTGGTTTCTCATTTTATTTAGCCTTCTCTAGTGTTGGGAAGGTCGCTTCCTCCAGCGACGACAGTGTGGTGGTGTCGTGGCTCTGGTGTACGCGTGGGGGTGGTTGTGGTGCGGAGTGGGCGGGATGAGCCTGTGGTGCGGAGTGGGCGGGATGAGCCTGTGGTTCATTGGGGGAGGTTTCGGGTCTGTTGGCCTAAGTCTAATTAGCCGATAGAGGAGTTTTTTTGACCCAGTGTGCTGGGATTTTGATGGATCATGTTAGATGTCGGCTCGGGTTGTGCAGATGTTGGGTGTTCCTGGTCGGTGGGAGCAGCTTTAGTCTAGTATCAAGATTCTAGGGTGCTAGGTGTGCTTAGGTTTATGTGTTGTGGTTGTGTTTCTGTTTTCCCGTTTGAGAGTTAGCATTTTCCACTAGTGGGAGTTTTGTATAAGTGTTGCAAGTTTTTTTAGTCTTGTAAATGTGTTTAGTGTAGTGTTTCTAGATTATCGTCGTTCTCATTTGTAGACATCTCTGAATTCAGCCTTAAGTTGGTTCTTTCGGTTACTTAACGGAAAAATTAGAGATTTAGTCATGTAACTGGACCCAAATTGAGATTTAGTCCTCTCCGATACCCACTTTTGGAAAACGTCCTGTAAGTGCCAAAAATCTTGAGAAATCGTCCTTCCACTGGCAAAAGCTGGTCACTTTTACCGGCCAGTCTACGTGGAATTTTACCTGATTTTTTTTTTTTTT